AGCAGGAAACCAGAACTTGACCCCACACACAAAAGGAGCTTAGCTTTTTGCTTCAAAAGTGATGCACTGCATGCTAGAACAAGGAGTTAACTTTTATTCTCTAGTTTTCTCTTTCCAAAAGAAAGAGGCTTTTGGATGTTGTGCCAGCTATCAGTGTTGGTAAGCTTCAGCTTTCATTAATGCATGCATTTCCAATTTTAAATGAAAGACCACAGCATAAAAAATATGAATTGGTTACTCTAGCATAAAATGAGAGTTGTTTTCACTTTGCCTTATTCACCTTTTCCTCCAAAATTTACTTCTGAAATTAGTTCTTGAGGTCCAACAATATTTTTAATTATAAATTGTATTCAGAGTGTGTGGTATTTGTGAAGGGATAATTTTCAATAATGGAGGTTGGGTGGACAGAAGAGAATGACTCCATCTGTTATTAACAGAACAGGTACTACATACAGTTGTAATAAGAGTTCGCACACTGCACTGTTGACATGTCTCAACACTTACCTGGAGGGATTATATTTATGTATCAGGCTGTTTCAGTTGACCTGGATTTTCAAATGCAATTGGTTAGAAAAATTTCTAGGAATTCTGAAAATCTGGACAGCAGTAGCTTAGTCTAAAAAGTATCATTTGTTTGAAAACTATTTGCTGTTTCACCATTGTGATAGGAGCACTGCTCTTAGGTCTGGATGTATCCATGAAGTAACAGTGGTATGATATCCACCTGAATGCATCATGAACGCAGAGCTACCCCTGAGGTAAAGGCTTTAGGAAGAACCTTACTTTTATGCAGAAAATACTGCTGGCCCTACAGATACTTAATTTCCTTTATGTCTGGGGCTGCAGGTGTGGCACTAGTTGACAAGGAAGAGATGGCAGGGGATCAGCCTTGCAAGACATCATGCTGAATACTGATGGCTAGACTCCTTTACTGTGCTAGAATATGTGAGAAACTTGGGATGGAAACAAGGCGTCAGAAGACTAGGGTAGAGGGAAGTAGGATGTCCTGGTTCTGGCTCTGTTCTGATGCAGAGATGCAGGATAACAGCAGCAGCCTTGCAATTTGACATCAGTTCTTTAATTATTCTGAATTTAAATCCACCCCATGCGGTCCTTTTTCTTAAGACTCTGCCAACCTTTGTCTGTCACCTTGGCATGTAGGTTTAATTCTAAGTTTTCCCTCCCTTTTGATAGTAGTTGAGAGAAGGATTTCTTTGGTTGGCCCTTTTTGCATATTCCTTCAGCTTCAGTGGCAGACATTATGGCTTCATTCTCTTGAACTGTCTAAAGAATCTCAGCACTTGAATTATTAAGTTTAAAATTTAACGTAGTATGTTTAGACTAATGTTTCGTCTAAACAGCAATGTAATTAGAGATGTCTTTTAAACTACATGTTTTATGAGGAGCTAAAAGACCATTTCAGTGCCAATGACTATATCTGTCATAGCTTATCTACCTTTACAGCCCTGTCAACTGTCTTAAATTACGTCCCAGTCAGACATAAGTCTATCCCTGTATTTTGTTTTAACCAGCTGGGAAAGGAGGAAAAAGAAAGATTTGGTTTTGCCAAGTGGTTCCTGTACTTTTTTTCATACAGCTGTTTAGCAGCAGTATTTAAATTATTACTTTCATTTAAGAATTGTGGTTTGTAAAGAGACCTGTTGGGTACATAAGACTTCTATTGAATGATGCAAAGGAAAAAGGTAATGTAGGAGACAGTGTTTTACCACATCTGGCTTTCTTAATGTAGTTATAATATAACCAACCATAGAATGGAAGGGACCTCAGGAGGTCATCTAGTCCAACCCCCTGCTCAAAGCAGGACCAGCCCCAACTAAATAATCCAAGCCAAGGCATTGTCTACCCAGGTCTTAAAACCCCCTAAGGATGGAGGTAACCACAACCTCTCTGGGTAGTCTGTTCCAGTGTTCTAGTACCCTCCTTAGTGAGAGGGTTTTTCTTCATATCCATCCTAAACTTCACTTGCTGCAGCTTGAGACCATTTGTCCTTGTTCTGTCATCTGCCACCACTGAGAACAGTCTGTAACCACTGCTATTAAATCCCCCCTCAGTCTTCTCTAGACTAAATAAGCCCAGTTCCTTCAGCTTCTCATAAGTCACATTCCTCAGCCCCCTCACCATTTTTAATGTCCTCCACTGGACTCTCCAATTTGTCCACATCCTTTGTGTAGTGGAGGGCCCAAAACTGGACAAAGTATTTCAGATGTGGCCTCACCAGTGCCAAATAGAGGGGATGACCACTTCCCTTGGTCTGCTGGCAACATTCCTACTAATGCAGCCCAGTGTACTGTTACACTTCTTCGCAACAAGGGCACACTTATTGGCTCATATTCAGCTTATTGTCCACCATAACCCCCAGGTCCCTTTTTTGCAGAGCTGCTGCATAGCCACTTAGTCCCTGGGCCTGTACTGGTGCATGGGATTGCTCTGTCCTATGTGCAAGATATCTGATATGTCAGGTATCTAGGCTGTAGTCATGTTGGTCTAGAGGCAAAAGGAATCAAAGCTTGTGGAAGGTGATATGAATTTTTATTTCTACCTAAGAGAACTTTTACAGTCTCTGCTCTTTCCTTTACCTGATGAAACTAATAATAGATGGCTGACATGATGCTGATACATTGTATCCGACTTGGTTCAGCCAGAGAAGATATTAAATCGCATCCTTTAAGCATTTTACTAAATGCGTATAAGGGGTTGGTGTTAAGGAAGCGCTAATAATAAGTTTAACAATCACTTGATGAAAGTGCTTGGAACTAGGTTGAGAATCTTGGTATGAAATAACCCAAATTTGATAACCTGGACACACAGTAAAAGATTCATTAGGGTTTTTGGAAAGTGCAGTTATGTTCCTGAATGATGAAGGGGGGATTGAAAAGGAGTTTTTTTAGGTAGCTGACTGAGTTCTTGTCTGATTTTTGTTTACCACTGCTGCAGGTATATTCTTATACTACTTAAAGCCTTGTGCAGTTGTATTTACTATGTAAATTTAAGTACTAACTTCTTTCAAGCTGAAGTGAAGCCCTCTACCACAACAGAGGAGAGGAGAGATTGAAACCAGGAACATCTTTCCTCCTATATGAAAGATGACCACTTACATTGGATTTGGCTACTTGAACGTAAGTGAGCCAATGGATAGTTTCAAAACTATCTTGGTATAATCTGAAATACTAATCAACCAATCAAAGCATGCATTTACATTGTGGCTCATAGTTTATGATTGGTGTCAGCAATCGCGAAGTGCATTGTTTCTCATCTTCTAGGTATGTTTGCTGTGTAATTTCTTTTCCAGATGAAAAATCAAATTTCTGTCCAAGATTACCTGTAACTAATTTGAATAATGTTCATTTCATACCCACTGAGTGCATCTACACATACAATTAGCACAGAGCAATAAACTCCAATGCATATTGTGCTGAAGCTTGTTGCACCCGAGCCCTGCGTTTGAACATTTGCCTAGGACTGCAGCACATTGAGCTGGGTTGGAGCAGTCCCAAATAGCAGGAGTTTGGGGGATCAGACTGCCAGCCTGGGGCTGCTCCAACCCAGCTCAGTGTGCTTGGGAGGGGCTGGGGCATGAGGGTGCTCTAGTGTGGGGCTAGCTGACTGACAGCTGATACACTGAAGCACCCTTGTGCCCCAGCCAGCCCTGTTGGTCGGTGTCTATACATGTGTTGCTGTG